GGAGGCAGAGGAAAGGATAAGAGGAACGCAAGAAATGAAATTTACCATTTCCACTAATATCGAAGATGTACTGTTTAAAGGAAGAGTTCGCGTCAATGAAATGAAGCTGAACGACTTTCTTACGAGGGAACCGGACGGCAGGGGCGTTGTGTACACCAATCGGGATCTCTTGCTGGAGGAGTTTTTCAAGGACCCCGCGAAGTATATCCGTGATAAAGGAGCACTGAACGAAATACAGGCATCCGGTCATTATTTGGGTATGAAGCGAGCTGTGAAGGGTGAAGTGATCTTCGACGAGGATGTACGCAGGCTTTGCGATAAGGGTGTCAACAATCTACCGGGGCGGTCATTGGCTGCTGCGGAGGTAAAAGCAACTGTTCATAACTCCAGTAAACATTTCTTGGATGCAGCTGCCGAGGAGGCGAGGAACCCAACGACGACGAGCACACCGGAGAAACTGGAGGGATTGTACGAGTCTGCGCACAATGCGAGGCGGAGCCATGCGGTGGAACTTCCGGACGGCGTAGAGCGAAAGAAAACGGTGACGGGAATGGGGGTGCATGAGGGGAGGCCAGAACAGTCATGGTCGTACAGGAAAGCTGACGACGCTATCGAAGAGAATGACGCTGTGCAGCAATTCGGTGCAGCACCTCCCGTGCTGATGTTGCTCGCCTCGGAGAAGGGATGGCCGTGCTCGTGGCATACGATACAGGATCTTCCTAAGGACGTTTTGTAAACTGTGAGGTGGATCGAGCGTGGCAGATCGTCAAGGGCGATGTAACCGCGTGGTTCAGCCCTCACGGTGGGACCGACTTTACGCCTAGGCGACGTGTGCTGATGGGGACGCCCGGGATCGGGAAATCGGTGGCTGCCGGCTCGTACCTCCTCTACCAGCTGCTGCACTGCGGTGTCGAGAAACTCCCTGTGGTTGTCCACTGTTTTGGTGGAGGAGATGCGTACGTGTCTGACAAGACCACCAGAGCGGTGACAAGATGCAGCGATGAGGGCATGTGCGTCTCGGAGTTGAGAAGTTTGAGGGGGCACGGGAGGAATGTGTATATTATCTACGATGTGGCAAAGGAGGGAACGCCGCCACCGAGACATTTTGCGCCTACTTCTGGATGGAGCATGATTGCGGTGTCATCCCCAGAGGTAGCCAACTATGATGAGTGGGAGAAGCAGCTACAAGCCGCGAGAATCATCGTGAATTGCCCCGACGAGGTGGATGTGAAGGCGATGTGCGCCCGGATAACGCGTGGCGGGACCAAAGAGAAACAGGCGGAGTGCTGGAAAGAGGTCAAGAACACATGTATCTTTTGGGACCGATTCCACGTCACGTCTTTGATGAGGAGGCGTTTAATGAACGCTGTGGAGCGGTGAAGTTTGCATTGCAATCGATCAACGAGGTAACTATGAAAGAGTACTTTTCACGGGGAGGTGAGTCGCCATGGTACTCTGAGGATCCGTCCCACAGGCCTGTGGAAGTTGTTCGGGAAATATACGCAGGCGATGTGATCCTTTTCAATGCACCGATATCTGCTTGCCTCGAGGAACGGACATTGGAACGCCTCCCAAGTGTAGCAGAATAAAATAGCTTTTGAGGCTGATGTTGGCGTCGAAGGATAATATTTTGCCGATGTTTTTTGGATGGCTTGCTTTGAAATCGTTCACGGAGAGTGCCTTTGTCAAGGCAATAGCGACGAAACCCACGGAGTTTGAGCCGCCAACAGGACGTCAAGCAAAGCCCTGCGTCTTGAAGTTGGCCCTGAATTGCATCCCAAGGGAGATGAAGGTTTGCTGCCGAGTGAATATGAAAAAACGACCCGTAAAATGAAGCACGGGGTGCTGCACACACCGTGGGCCACAAACTCTTCGCTGGTGGACGCCTTTTTTTTTCTCGGAGTCCAATCCAATGACGCTGGTTGGGCTGCAGATGACTACGGCGGGTGGGCGCCACACCACCGCCAGCACTGTGGGGCAGTTCACTGAGTGCCTGGCGGCATATTTTAATGGTTGGGAGGAGTTATCCCGAGACATGTCGTGGGAGATTATTTACGTGCAGCGCGCAGACAGCACGCCGAGGAATGGCTGGCAGAGATGTGATGTCGTCAATTCCAATAATGTGAGCGACGAGAGCCGTGAGATTCGGCGTTTTGGAAGGAAGAGGTGCACCAGTACCAATTGTCAATATCGTGCAGAGACTTTTGAAGAGACGAAGCTCTTCGAAGTGTGCAAAAAATAATAACAATAATAGGAAAATAGATTAGGAAATTGAAAGTGAACGAGTCATTTTGATTTGTGGTAAAAAATATTGTGGGATTTATTTATTTTTGGATGCTTGTGCCTGAGCATGCGGTGCGGGTGCACCATCTCCATGCGGCAGCACCGCACACAAATGCCAAAATGTCCAACGCTATCGAACATAACAGTGACAGAATAAATTAGGGAGGGAAAGGGGTTGTTCGGCTTCTGGTGGAAAAACACTGGGTGATTTTTATATGTTATTTTGATTGTGTGCGCATACGAGGCGTCATTGGAGAATTGCCCCAGTATGAGAGAATCATTGTGGCTGGCGGTGTCACGGTGTTACTGCATTGTCCATTTCCTTCTATTGTGTTCGAAGGCCCATCACTAACAGAAGCATCTTTAAGGGATGGACGACGAATAAGTTCTATTGTGGAAACAGTGCGCTCCGTGTGACCCCGTAGAGTGAGGCGCCGCGTCATGGCTGGGTGAGGATCCGCTTCCGCGTGTGGCTCCTTGGGTGATTGTTTGCTCGGTGTGCGTTGTGTGTTGGCTGCGGGCTGTGGCCGTATCCCGTTGCCGTGGGATTGAACTGGAGGCGGTGGCGGTGTGTGGGCACTGCGGCGCACCACGCTGGAGGATGGC